GTGTATGTATACAACTGTATTAATTATTGTCATTTTTTCTAAAATTTAGGGGAAAATTTTGTATATTTTCTTAAAATAAGATTTCTAACATACACAATGTGAATATACATCCAGAAGATGAGTTATGGATCTAAATTATTCTTTGTCAATACCTATGCAGTAAACATTTGTCTTTCATCCATTTGCCTTTGTATCCATTGTCTTCCCTAATTAGGAAAGTGGGCAATTTGAAAACATTTAGGACACAATTCATGTTTCTCTTTCCAAGACTGAAAACAGAGCCTGAAAGACAAATGTCACTACATAACTAAGAATGAACTCAACACTCATTAGTGAAAACTTGAGCATAAAAAAAAACAAAAAATACCTTTGTCTTGGCTGACCACTGCTGGGGGTAGGGCCTGCTCTGACATGCACTTGATTCCATGACCACTCTTGTGGAGAAAACTTTGACTGTTTCCCCTCTTTTGATTTGCTGGTCTAAATTATTTATTCGCTAGGTTTGCTTGGATATAGTTAATCTCTTTAAGTTGGAGTTTTCTTTAGTGCCTTCTGCAGGCTGGATTTGAAGGTAGATATGTTTAAAATTGTCTTTACACTGGAACATCTTATTTTCTTCATCTATAGTGATTGGAAATTTTGCTGCATACAGTAGTCTGGCCTAGCATCTATGGCCTCTTCAACTCTACAGGACATCAACCAGTCCCTTCTGGGTTTTAGGTCTCCATTGAGAAGTCATGTGTGACTCCAATACGTCTGCCTTTATTATGTCACTTGGTCTTTTTTCTCTTTCAGCCTTTAATAGTCTTTCTATGTCCTGAATATTTAGTCTTTTGATTATGTCACCAGAGAATTATTTGTTCTAGTCCAGTCTGTTTCGTATTCTATATGCTTTTTTTACTTTTATAGGCATCTCCTTCTTTCAGCTAGGAAATTTTTCTTCTATTTTATTGAGAATATTTATTGAAATTTGACCTGAGTTTCTTTTCCTTCCTCTATTCTTATTATTTTTAGATTTTGTCTTTTACATAGTGTCCCAAGTTTCCAAGATATTTTGTGGCAGGATATTGTAGTACAATATTTCTCTGCCAGAGGTATGCATTTCTTCTTTGTGCATTCAGTGCCTGAGGTTCTCTTTTCCATCTCTTGCATTCTGGTTGTAAGGCTTGTCTCTGAGATTTCTGTTTGAGTTCCTAAGTATCTCTGTTGCAATTTTCCCTAATTTATTGGTTCTATTTTCATTTTTAGTTCTTGAACTGTTTAATTCACTTCCTTTCATAGATGTTTTTAAGAGTTTTATTCATTTCTTCCTTAAGAAATTCTATAGTCATAAAGTCTAATAGTCATAAAGACTATCTAAGGTGTTTTGGTTTGGGGGGTGATTGTTTGTTATGTTGTTGTTTGTTTTTGTTTTGGATAGGAAGATATAATTCTGTAGTTGTGGGTGTTGATATCTAGTCTTGTTGTTGTTGGCTGGGTGTTTCGTTCCTTGGTTTCTGTTGATCTCTTTGGTTTTAGGAGAGTTTGGTGCCGCCTAGTAGAAAATTTAGAATCCTGATAGGTGAGACCTAGAGATTCCGTGGTAAAATGTGTTCCGGGGCATTACAAGCTGACATATAAGTATGGATTTTAGCTGGAGGGACTGGCGGATTTCTGCCAAGGTGGGAGGAATCAACAAGAGGCAGAAAAGCAGGCGGTCCAATCAGGATCTGCTTAGTCCTCTGGGAATGGAGATAGTGGGACCAGGACAGAGCAGAGGGTCAGCTATTGATCTGTGATGAGACTGGGTATTGACCATGAAGGAATAAAAGGAAAGATGAAGATCTGCAGTCAGCCCACCTCTTTCCCTGTCCAGGGTGTCCTGTGGGTCCCCATGTTAGATTTGGGGGCAAGAGTAAAGCAATGTGCCTGGGAGGATGGTTAAGAGGGAAAGGTCTGTGTGATCTAATAGAGACGGGAATGGAAACATGTAGGGAGTTCAGCAGGTAGTCTGCTGCAGAACCGGGGATGAGACTGGGGGATTGAATTTGAAAAAAAATTAACAGAAAAGTGAAGATCTACAGTTAGTTGACCTCTTTCCCTGGGTATCAATAATGAACAATTTTTATTTTTCCACTGCTGTTTATATATTGTTTAACTAGCTGATAGTCATAATATAGAGAATCTTCAAACATTGTTTTTGACCCACTAAGTTCAATATTTTGTTCTTTGCTTCCCTGCAAATAGTATATTTTATCTACATTAGTAGAGTACTTTCTTCTGCTCTTCCCTGCACCGTTGGCCTTGTTTCTTGTTTTCCTCTGGAAGACATTCCTTCCAGGCTTTGTCTCATACCTGCAGTTTTCTTGTAAGACAGATGTATCTGGGACAAAGTTTGTGCTTAATAAAAAAACTAGAGGTCTGTATCCCAGCATGGTGATGATGTTTTTGTTAGGTGGTCTTTTACTATTGAAAGGAATATTTTCAGCCCAGATAAGAACATTTTATTTAAACTATATACGTGTCTGTATACACAGACTCACATGTATAGGTTTTTAAGTAAATAGTTAATGTTGTATTTTATAAAAAGAAAGAGGAAGCAGGGATATGTTTTGTGGAGGCTTGGTATGGTGTGAGGGAAGGGGGTTCCATGCTGAGGCATCCCTTCCCCCTGAGGGACCAACCACATGACAGTATAGTATAAAACAGAGTTTATGTAGAGCATGGGAAGGAGAGTTGTGAGAAAAGCAGAGAGAGGGAGGAGGAGAAGGGAGAGGAAGAAGAGGAGGAGGAGGAGGAAGAAAAGGAGGACAAGGAGGAGAGTATTAAAGGCTGGCCATGGGCACATGTAGAGACAGAGGAGAGGGAAATGGGGAGAGAGATTGAAAGGAGCAGGGACAAATCAAGAGAGGCCTGTGTTGGTCTGATGCCCCAGTGTAGGGCGATGCTGGAGCGGTGGGGCAGGAGAGGGTGGGAGGGTGGGGCAGTACCCTCATAGAGACAAAGAGGAGGGAGGAGAGGAAGGTTGTGGGATGTGCGGCTTGTGGAGGGCTAATCTGAAAGTGGGATATCATTTGAGATACAGACAAATGGAATGATTAATAAATAAAAATAATAAAAGGGAGCAAGAGAGAAAAGAAGGAGCCAGCAGCCCCTTTTATAGTGAGTCAGCCATACCCGGCTGTTGCCAGGTAACTGGGGAGGAGCCTAGACAAAATGCCAACAGTTAATAGTATGATTTCTTGAGTCTTCAAACAGTATTACTTTTATTTTACCCTCTTCCCTCCCACATCCCTAATTAAATCTCTGCTTTTCCCATTGCTCAGACCACATCACTTGGACTTTGCTGTTTCCCTCTCTATGGCTTTCCTGTTTCCCTACATGACAATGTTTCCTTTTTATTTTCCTTGTTTCTGCAGTTACTCCAGAATCAAAAAAAATTGTATAAAAATTTTTAAATAAAAAGGATTACCTAATAGGTTCTCTCTCTCTCTCTCTCTCTCTCTCTCTCTCTCTCTCTCTCTCTCTCTCTCCTCCTTTCTTCATTCCTCTCACTTTCTCTTTCTCTCTCCTTTCCTTTTGGTACAAGCAGTTGAAATGAGGGTTGCTCTCACCATGTGTAAACAGAAAATTTCATAAACACTAAAAGAAATTGAAATAAGTGTAGACACAGGGTATACAGTGGAAATTTTTATTCTAAGACAAGTGGCCTCTCAGGCTGCCTGGATTAGGAAGTGACAGCCTAACTTGACTATAGCAGAAATGCTCATTAAAGAAGAAAAAAGACTGATATAAAAGTGTTAGATTCCCTGTGCTTTGAAAGCTGCCGTGTTTACAGTTTCTAATCTCTGTGAGACTTTCAATGGAAAACAATGAGACTCTTGTATTATATTTTAAATTTTGTTCTGAGGACTCATAGATTCATTGCGAAGGTAAGAACAGTGAGAGAAAGGAACTGAAACTAACTCTTTCATGAACTGTCAAATTGATCCTCAAATGAAGAGAGACAAAAAGATTAAATTTTAGGGATGGAAGTAATATTATTTCATTTTCATATAGATTTCTCTGCACTTTTCAGGTGGAAGTGAATGGTTGTGAGCCTTCTATCTCAGTGGGACAGCAGCCCCCTTGCATGCCCCAGCCGATGCTCAGTCAACATCACAACCTGTGGCATACAACTCTGGTCATTCTCATATGATCGGGAAGAGTCAGAGAAACAAATATTTACTTACCAGTGCCTGCCTACCAATGTTAGATTTATGAGGTTAACAGATTACTTATATCTGAGGTCTGGACTCAGAACTAGCTTTTAAACATGAAGAAACTTTATATATGGATTCTATCCATAAGTTATGAGATTCTAAGACTGATCTTCAGGGGTAATACAGATGCTCTGTTGAGAATGTGGCTTTATTGTAATAGAGAATAAGGTGTCTCTTGTGCAGGTGCCATGGGAGAGACGCTTGCAGAAGATACCATGGAGTGCTGATGTAAAGCAGAGATTGTTTTATAAAACTACATGTAAAAATAAAGAAACATAAGTAAAGAGAAAGGTTTTAATTTTTTCTTTACCTTTTTATGTATCCCACTGTGTTTGCGTGTGCCTAGGGGGAGGTGTCCGCACACGTGAGTGCATGCGTGCACACACACACACACACGCGCCTGTATACATATGTCACTGTATGCCGTGGAGATCAGAAAACTACTTTTGGGAGTCAGTTTTCTCTTTCCATCATGTGGGTCTTGTGATCAATCTTAAGTCATCACACTGGGTGGCAAGTACCTTGACCTACTTGGTCATATCAAGGGCCAAAGTTTTATTGTTTTGAGTGACTATCCTAATATTAGTTCATGATTTTTTTTAAATTGAAACATGGTTTTAGATAATAAATTCCTACAAATTCTTTAGATAACATATAGCTTTAACCTATGAGACAAACATAGAATGATATGACATAATTTATTAAGAGAGTTGTCAGTAACTGACCACTTTTGTGTAAAATTCTCTTTCTTTTCCTCAGAATAAAAGTTTGAAAAACAAATTATTGTCAGGAAGCAAGCTGTGTGGGATTCATGCAGAAGAGGTGAGTAAATACGGTCTTTTCATAAGTTTCATGACTTAATGTTAAATTAAATCTTGTATAATCTAAAGAGCGAATAGCTTTTTCTCTAACAAAACTGAAAACTCTGAATAAAAAGTGATTTACATTGTATTTTTATATGTATCTGGTTTTTGCAACACTGCACAAAAGAAAAACTAAAAGTTTATCCAATGAATTGTTCATAAGATGATTTTCTAATTCCTATCTCAATTGTATGGATCATATCTCCCCCAGTGGAAAATTACTAGATACCTAGTGAATTCTTATGCTTTGTGACATCCACCAAGAAAGTTTCTGAGGTTAATTTTACCTTACCAAACAAATAGTGAGGGAGAATTGTTTGTTTGTTTGTTTGTTTGTTTGTTTTTCTGTTCAGCGAGATTGTCTCATGTATTACTCAAGGAGTGGCAAACATTATTCTGAGTAATAAATATCTAACCACGGTAGTCAGTTTTATCTGGTTCTCACCTGATCCTAAATGTAATATAGAACCATAATTTGTAGGGCCTATTAAAGATAGTAATAGAGTAATATTGAAGTTTACAAGTAAGTATAATTCAAAGAGAAGAGGCAAGAATCCCTGTGTCCCAGAGGCACTTAGAAAGCCTGCATAAAGACAAATTGCACAGGGAAAATCCCACAAGTGATAAGGAATAAATCTGAAAGCTTTTCCATTCCAGGAAGACCTGAAGCCTGTGAAGGAAGAAAGCTTTACCAAGAGAGGCTGGAAACTGCTCAAACAGATCCATCATTGTCTAACTATAAAATTGCCTCACCTCCCCTTTGTCCTGAATTCCTTTCCTGACACTTTTCTAGAGATGTAAAAGAGGAATTTTCTTGGTAGAGAGAAATGTTGTGATAGTCCTTCAGTAAAGGAAAAAGTACAATCTCCCTCACTCTTTGTCAAACCAAGTTCACATGCTTAGGCAATACTAATAATTCAAGATATATTCTAAGACAAAGCCATTATGAAAAAAATACCATAACTCAAAGTTTACACATGACATAATCCTTTAGAGAATAAGTTTCCAATAATATATGCATAGTGGGTGGAAAGCTTTAAGACATAGAAAGCAAATGTTGATTCTTCTTGTGTAGAAAAATAAAACTGAGTAGTTTGTAGATCCAACCCAGGGAAGTGTTTTATTTCATTACATTTTGCTGTATTTGGACAGAAATAAACACGACCTTGTTCATATTATTAGGATTGTTGAATATGGAAAATGTGGATTTTGACAGTTCTGAATACTGTGATATAGTCAATACAATGCTATAGTATAATATTAGGATAGTCACTCAAAACAATAAAACTTTGGCCATTGATATGACCAAGTAGGTCAAGGTACTTGCCACCCAGTGTGATGACTCAAGATTGATCACAAGACCCACATGATGGAAGTTTTGGATACAAAGTCTCTAAATCAGATATGATGCACCTGTAACACCAGCACTTGGGCTATAGAGTCAGGAAGATCAGGAGTTCAAGGTCATTCTCAGCTGGGATGGTGATTTTGATGGAGGCCTAAGACATGGAAGACTTTATCTCAAGAAACACAAAAGTAAAAATATCTCAGTAAAAGCTACAGTATAAGACAATGAATATTTGCTAGTGTCGCCACAAAATTCAAGTATATGAGCAAAGAGATCACTAGAGACATCGCTGGTGTTTAGAAAATTAAATAGTAAAATTAAATAGTACCTACATTTATAGTTTACCCTCTTCATTCAATAATATTTATATTTTCCCTCGGCACAGTGAAAATTAAATCTCATTTGTTCATTGCTGTGTTCCTCATATTATTTCCTTAATGGTTAAAATGCAGTAAGTTCACATAATTTATTTTTGCCGTAGCTAGTTAAATATTTATAGAACAATATTAAAGCTTAATACTCTAGGTAACAAGGGAAATGTTTACACTGTCACAACAGTATTTTAAAACAATATGTGCAAAATTCTGTTATTTAATTTATCATTATTATTCAAAAGAAAATGACAGTCTTCTCGGCTGGAGAAAAGCTGAATACTTTCAGCTCATCATCTGAGTCACCAACTCTCAATTCTATAGCCATACAAGAATGAAATGCTCTGTGATTTGGCATAGAAGAACATGTTCTGTGACTTTTCCTGGAGAGATGTGAACGAATGTGTATTCACTGCACATAGGGCACTAGGCGCGGAATGTGTAAAAGCAGCTGCATCAGTGAAATGCTCACCGCAGGATAGGCAACACCTCGAGAAAGCTGAGTCTCTGGCTGTGGTGGACGGCTGAAGACAGCTTAGTGGGTTAGAGATTCCCCTCTACCCAGTATTGCCACTGTTTATATGACTTTGCTGAGGCTGCCAGGAGTCTTGTGAATTCCTGGGCTTCCTGAGCCTGGTGAACAATCATTAGCTTCCTGAGTCTTGAGAGCCTCCGTCCTCCCTCTAAGAGCGAATGTTTCACTTCAGAGGAAATAGTTATACAACAAACGTTACAAACAGAAAATACTATCAACACCATCTGCCATCACCACTACTATTATTTCATAAAAAGAAAGTTATCTGAACATAAATTTGTGAGATGGAATCTCAGATTAGACAGTTGTCTCCTAAATGAGAATAAAGAGCTAAAATGTTCCTTCATGGCTGCCTAGTACTCGCCATCATTTTCTTCTAGCTGTCCTTATTATTCCCAGCTTTAATTAGCTCATGCACATGCAGACTCCATGATCTTCATGATCTGAAATTTAATATTGAATTTACAATTATCTATGTAATAATAGTAAAATTACTGCGATGCCAAATGTTATATCATTTGTTAGAGGCTTTTTATTTTTGATAATTTTAACTTAACTAAATATTGCTGACAAGCTAAAACAGCATGCTATATGGGTTCAAATTAACATGCATTCCACAATAGATACATTCCTTCAGATGTATTTGTTTTTGTATAATCTTTGTAAAAACCTTAGATAAAAGCTTGCTTATTTATGTACTGATAATTAGGTCTGGACAGTGAAATGCAGCTCCATGGGTGTATGAGCAATTCATGTTATCTACATGATAACAAAGGCCAAGAAAACTACCATGATGTGGTCACTAAATGCGGAAAAATATGGAGAAAAATCTCAATTTAACTTTAGTTTCATCTACTAAAACAACTATCAAAAAAACCCTTTAAATATTGATGGTTATAATGAAAACTTTAAATCATACTGCACACTTTCTATGTAAAATAGGTCGTAAATGGATATCACAAATGATTAAAATTAGTGCTTTGTGACTTCTGAGAAATAAAGCACTAATTATCAGGAAGCATGAAGATGGCATTGGTCATACAAATACATAGTACGCAGTAATGATCTGCTGATTCCCACCCACGCTTATCAAATCAATGTGGGAGAAAATCTGTTTTCCTGAGAGATTGTCTTAGCTAAGAGTCCCGAGTACCAGACTGGGACAGGATTGTCCTTTACTAAATGAGTCACATAAGTAATTATAGCCATGTTAATCAGAATCATCATAGAAAAAAGGTTAGTCTGAAACTAGGTTCTGAACCAGTATTCATTATTTTGGAACACTTGGGAAACTTTGAAGGAGAATTGTTGTAGGAACTATTAATCCCAAAGTAAAACTGTAAGGCTCAGAGGTAGAAAGGTCCCATGTAAATGTTCTTTATTAATAGCCACTAACAATCATATGTTCTCACTAGGAAATTTTTGTCTTTTCATCATAGGGCATTTCACAATCACTCTTCCGATCAAGAAAGGCTAACTTTTGATTGGCATGAGATACTTTTGTAAACAAACAAACAAGCAAAATAACTTCAGTTAGCCCTGTTACCAACTTTTTTAAAGACATATTCTTTTAATTGTTTTACAGTCTATTTATATCGCTCCCTTTCCCCTCTCATCCCTCATGTTCTTTCCATGCTCCTGATCTTTGCTCCTTCTCTAACTCACAGACTATACTTTTCATCATTATTTTTACATATGCATATAAATTGTATAAATACAGTCCTTTGGGCCTGTTGAGTGTAGTCTGCATGTATGTTTGGCATTGGATAACCAATTTGAGAGCTCATCCCTGGGAAAACTAATTTTCCTCTCCGTCCTGGAATTTGATCTGGCTGGAGTTCAAAGGTATTTGTTTATGCTATCACAATTGCAGTGAGCTTATAAGTAAAGCTGCCCTGAACCACTTCACAAATTTTCATGTAATCTCAGATCATACAGCATGCTAATCTTCACATTATTCTGAGTTTAGGATGTGTGTTAAGAAGTAAGCACCTACTATTCTTTTTTAAATTTTGTACATTTGTCCATGCTCTTGTATATATGTGCATGTGTGTAGATGTCCATGTGGATGTTTCTCCACAGTGAAATATGAGGATGCTTTATTTCAGTAGTAGAAATTCAGTGAACTGAAGTACTCACATTAAATATTGGTAACTGTGTCTTCTCTAAAAGGCAGAGGATACATAATTTTCTTCTCTGGCTTAGAGATAAATTATTACTATACAGATATATTTGTGTAGCAATATGTCACTGAGAGCAATTGAGTTAGTTTAACATTTTTATATTTATAATGACCCTGCCAAATGTGTGTATCTCTGCAACCCAGTTCACCCTTGAATCATAGAATTTGGCATTCTGACCATTTGTTTACTGGTCTCTATTGGAAATACAGTGAATTAAAACCTGGCCATCCATTTGTACTTACTCATCCCTGATCTTAAAAAGTAATTAAATAGAAACAGACACAACTGCATTTAGATATCACACATGCATTTACCACTTAAAATTGGTTTGTTTATCATGCCTGGATTTCACATATTTTGTGTATAGGGTGTAGAGTAGATGAAGACAGAATGTTTGTTTAAATAATACCTTTGTAAACATATAAATTTTTGAACAGACCATGAATTCTTGCTTCCTGACCCAGATATGTGCATGGCTGATGCCAAAGCTAAGTTTAGTTTTTTCTGTTGATTACCCAAATTTTGGAATTTCATTTGGCTAGGCTGAAACATTTTTTCCTGTGCAGTGTGACAAAAGTCAAAACTTCAGGTTTAAAATACAAGTGAGCATAGGCACTAATACGTCTCTACTTTTACAGTCCAAAAAAATTCAAGCCCAGCTGAAAGAGCTTCGTTATGGGAAGAAAGACTTGTTATTTAAGGTAAGCATCTTTCCCTCTTCCACTCCAAAATGCTGGCCCAACACCTAAGCTGCCAAAAATATTACTTGAACTAATTGTAATTGCTAGACTTTCTAATGAAGAATTGCTCTTGGCTGAGTTTGGATTTCCTCTATTTTCTTATCTCTTAATTAGAGAATATAGGAACATTTGTTGTCAAAGGCAGATTTGATTCTAATGTAGTTAAAGCTTCCATGGTCGTTAAGAATTTAGGTGAAGTGACATTGGTAGATGTCCACAAAATAGAGGATATTTTGAGAAAGTATCCACCCATACATTTTACTGGTGACCTTGCAATCTTAGCTAAAGTTTTGTGACACGTTCATTCACAGGTCTATCTAATCAAAATCTGAACTTCAGAAATCTGAATCCACTGAGAATGTAAAGAGATGAATGGCTATCCTCAGGGATTCTTAGTTCTGAATTCCTGGGCTTCGTGAGCATTATCTTCTGTCTCAGGAGACTTTGTAGATGTGACTAAATTACAGATCTTTACAGAGAGAGATTAGGTTTGTTATCAGTGACTTAAATACTTGGGTCATTTTACCGATGAAGCAAAAATGTCAAAAGAGGAGAGTATGTGCTCATAGAATTTGAAGACTAAATGATAAGTGAGCGATTTTTCTAGCTTCTTTGATTTAACCCCATGGCATTCATTTCATATTTGTTATCTTGAAAACTATAGAACTTTTTGTGTTGAGTAATTAAGTTCGTGAGAATTCCTTACAGCACCAAAATCAAATTAGCCTGTTCATTCTTATCCAGGCATAAAGAATATAGGCCCTTGACTTGTGTTCTTTATCTGTCTGCTTTATCACCTGCAGTACTAGGATAGACATTTAGGCTTTTATAAGTAGGTATAATAATATGTTGGTAAAATAAGATTATTTATATATAATATTTACTCCTTAACACATTTTAACTGTAATGATCGCCTTAAGTGAAGATTGGAATGTTACTTTTACTGATATAAATATTTTACTAACTGTGGAAGTAGAGTGATTTTTATTGAGAACAGAAAAATGATGGAGAGCCATAATGCACTTACTCTCAGCTTTAGAATCTCAGGAAACGTGCTGATTATGTCACCTGATATTTGTATGTAGCACACGATCCTGGCACATCGTGACATATGCTGTTCCTGCCTTTGATTTGGTGCCCTTTAATCCACAGTCCCCAGAGCCCTAAGAAAACATCTGGGCCTGTCAGACATGAAACTCCAAATACCTGGAGAAAATTGTCATTGTTCATGAGTAATTTCAATAAAGAATAAACAACTCTGTGTAAATGTGATTGAATAAAGAAGAGGATGTCATAACTGATCAAGGGATGCTCAGAAGGGCTTGTCTGTGCCATCTCCTTAAAGTCTTTCTGGCATGTGTCCATACTGAGACGTGGCCTTTCACCTCTGGAATGTTGTGTTGTCTATGACTTGTGATTAGACATTGTAGATCAGAGTGTGTCCCACAGAGGACAGTGTTTTATTGGTCAGAGCTATGGCTGCTGTGAGGAAGAACTGGTTTCTATGACTCTGTTATAAAGGAAAGACGGTTGGAAAAGTTCATGTATCTGAGACTCGTCCAGTGTTGTTCAGTTAAAGGCACTCAGCACTCAAAAGTGACACATAGTGAGCCACTAACATTTTGTTTTTGTACAATGCTTTGAGTGTTCTGTTTTGTCTAACCCTCACACAACAATGAAGAGAAAGCATGGACTCCATTTCACAAAGAAGAAATCAAGACCTTTGAAAGAATCTTACATATAAACACCACGATTATTCACATATGTACTAGCAGTTATTTATTATTTCATATTTATTTTCAAAACATGTGGAAGGCTAGAACCAGTGGCATATGCTTTTAATCCCAGCACTCTGAAGGCAGATAAATGTATCTCTGTGAGTACAAGGCTAGCCTGATCTACACAGTGAAATCCAGCATGGACAGAGATACATAATAAAGAGACTTCTAAAGCAAATAAACAAAAAACAGTCTTGCACTGTATGTGTCATATATGTTCTCAATGCTTACAGTATTCCTGAATAACTAATTTAAAAGATATCACATTAGAATCATGCTCTTGAGTATGAGACACACAAGTTCATTAATTTATTAGAACTAAATGATTTTTGAAGCCAAGCTGCTTCTATGTAAAACATAAGACATGAATAGCTTCATTAATCTTTTCATTTATATTACTAATGTGATATATGATAAAGAGATAGATTGATGAATTGATAGGTGATATAGAGATAGCTAGATAGTAGATAGATACAAAGATTTTAAAAGATCATATGTATTTCTTGTTAAATGTGATGACATGTAATTTTTAATAATCAAATTTATTTCTCCAAAATGTATGCTAACATCAAAATATTAAAATTTCACTGAAAGCTCAAGATTTATTTTTAGCAATTTTGGGGCAAGAAGCCAATCCTAAAGATTTAAAAATGAATTACATATAGTGTCATGACTTTTATGTAAGAGTTCTGGATGCATGCTCATGCATTTGTTCAAAATCTTTTATTGTGCATATGTCCTGCCTCAGCTACAGAAGAGTCTGTTCTACTCAGTGCCTTCCTGCTTGATGAGGAGTGTGAAAGCCCATAAGTGTGTTTCAGTGAAGATTTGGGAGTATCTGCAATTGTTCATAAGTTTATAGATTTGCCAAGGCATCTTTTTTCTTTTGAGGATCTATAAAATGGACCAGTTTCTTGTTATGTATTTTGAAAATTTAGACATTTAGGAAGTATTTTTATAGTATTTATGTAGTATTTTTGTAGTATTTGTGGAGGCTTGTCTTCTTCCTTTCTGAGTCCTCTTGTTTGCATACAGGAAGTCTTTCTAGTGTTAATTGTGTATAAGTCATGATGGGACTCTGAGAACATATCATAATTCTGGGTCTCCAAACACATTATAAATTTTATTATGTTTGTATGTGACCCCATTTCAGACTGTATCCATTATGGATATTGGTGATTATCCTTTTAACCTTTCCTATTGACTTCCTGCCTAACCTCAAGCTCTCATTCCAAAATTTGAAAATTCCACAATTTCCAAACCTCATTCCTAGCTGGCACTCAGATATCAAGCTTTGTGCTTCGGCTCTATAAAATTTAAATATTTGGTGTGGTCAATCTGGTGCTTCTGCAGAGCCACCCTACTTAGATAGGTTTGAATAATTTGTGTCTCATCACTGTAGTGGAAACTGAATGCTGTTATAGAGGCGTAATAGAAAAATTGGAACTGTGAAGCCTGTAACATTTCTTGATGTTACTGAAGATAGTCAAAACAAAGACAATAATTCTGATAGCAAACTTCCCTTTGAATCTCAGCATTGGGTGAGCCTTGGTTTGTTGCTTTACCTCTACATAATCCTGTACTGGCCAATGTGTTAAGTTTATACCTTGACCTCCCAATCAGACTTCCCCCTGAGAAGGGCCTTTAATTTATGCTAAATTAAGGTGATTCAATATTTCTTGGTACAGAAAGAGCAGTCAGGTATGATGAACCTCCTGGGGAAAGTCATTTCCCTTCAGGAACTGTCTGGAGGTACTCCAGATCCAGCTCTGCCCACAGCTGCCCAAGGTCACATGAAGGGCTATGGTGGTGGAGGATGTTCATAAGTGTCTACTCATCCTACTTCTCGCTTCTTACCCTGAAAATTAAACACATAAATACTAGTCATAGGTGATTTTAGTGTCTGAAATTATAAACTAAGAATCACAGCACATTTTAGGTACATGGTTGAACACCCTGAAGAGAGTACAGACCTCATTTCTAGTAGATATCTTCTTCAATTGTCTCCACTCTCCAGTTAGAATAAAGAAAAATACAGAAATAGCTGTATCCCAAACTTAAATTTTCTTACTATACTAAGTGAAAGAAAGCTACAAACATTCGTGGATTCCACACTTCCTATAATTTTTAATGATCCTTGTTTGCCTATCCTTTATCCTAATGGCAGTGAAAGCAGCTTCAGATGACAGAACCAAATGGCTGTCCTTTGAAGGTTCTTTTGGCAACATCATTAGATGTTTATCCTCTGCCATGACAGGAGGCATTTCAGATCTACATATGGACTGGTGATGGATCCCTCTAAACCTAGTACTCTGGATGCAGTGGTAGGCAGATCTCTGTGAGTTTTGGGCCAACTTTTCTACATAGCTAGTTCCAGGAGAGCCAGGATTACATAGTGGGACACTGTCTCAGAAAACGAAGAAACAAAGCCAAATCTATATTTATGAATATCCTCAATTTTGTTCATATAAAATTAGTGTTTTTATTCACTTACAGGGCTGTTTGTTAACCTGTGCATAATGAAAGACAGGTTAGTTACCTCTTACCATAATTCCATAGAAAGCTGAGCCACAGACACAGCACTTTATAAAAAGGAGAGACAGACAACTGTAAATTTCATCCCTGATAAGACGGCAAATGCAGACTTACCATCTGCACTTGTACACCGGGGGTCTTTACCAGTGGTAATACAAGCAGTAGAATCATTTGGCCTGGCTTTGTCATACTAAAGAAGCGTTTTAAGTAAGGCGGTCCCAGAATGCTCTTGTGGAAAAATAAGTTACATCTGTTATCATATAGATGTATAAAAGAGTAGACTCTCCGCAAAAGATGCTCCTGTGAACATTACCTATTTCAGCTTCCTCAGAACTCAGGCTAGTCACACTGAAGCACCACCTCAGCTTATACATACTCAGCAATTAGTATCTACAACATTTCAAAGCATAGGTTTATTTTCTTTCCTGAAATTTTGTTGGAAAATTTTTTTCTATTTCTGTTATACTTGCTGTTCCCACAGAGATACCACACTTCATCAATAAACTTTTCAACAGGTCCTCTATTCCAGGTCCTTTACCCTCTGTCTCTGTCTATACTTTCTGTTTTAGACACTTCCAGCCCTGAGGTTCCTTTAGATGAAACATTTCTGGTTTCAATCAAGAGTAGAGCTAATTGCTTAGTTACTGT